AAAAAAAGACTTACGGATAGAGGAGAATGACACAAAACTCTTAGCTATAAACTATTAACTATTAAACTATTTACGTAGGCTTCATATTCAGCTTTTTGATCATTTAGCCCCATTCTCTCCTACAACCATTTCCCCCTTAAACTAGGTCTTCCAATTAAAGGCCTATTAACTTTACAAGCTATGACCAGGTGTCTTTATTAATTTATTCCATTCTTACTTTCTTCATTCTCTTCCCTCTTACCAACTTTTCTTTCTTCTTTGATTCTTCCCTTGATATGATAGGATTCTATCTTCTTTGGCCTAAACCTCTCTTCAGCTACAACTAAATTTTCTGCAGTATCTTTAAAACCACATGCTACATAAGCCAAGACTAGACCTATATTACCCTGAGCTACAGCAGGATAATATTTCCTGAGTTTTCTCCTATTTCTTAGCTCCCATTTCCATGGATTGAGTTTATTTTCTATCCCCAAAGGTAGAGACATTTAAAACTTTTTAAAATTAAAAGTGGTTTTCTTTTTTTTTTTTTTTTTACATATTTTATTTATTTGACAGAGATCACAAGTAGGCAGAGAGAGAGGGGGAAGCAGGCTCTCTGCTGAGCAGAGAGACCCATTCGGGGCTCAATCCCATGACCCTGAGATCATGACCTAAGCCGAAGGCAGAGGCTTAACCCACTGAGCCACCCAGTTGCCCCATAAACATGGTTTTCTTTTAAACATGGTTTTCTGGGATGCCCCAAACCTCCCACTAATTCACATTGATTTATCTCGCTCTAGTTCTGTAGTTTTCAACATGGCTTTCTTTTAGGTATGTCATCTACTCAGTTGCCTCTTTATTTATTTTTTTTAAAGATTTTATTTATTTATTTGACACAGAGAAAGATCACAAGTAGGCAGAGAGGCGGGGCGGGGGGGGTTGGCAGGAAGCAGGCTCCCTGCTAAGCAGAGAGCCAGATGCGGGGCTCGATTCCAGGACTCTGAGCCGAAGGCAGAGGCTTAACCCACTGAGCCATGCAGGCACCCTCCCCCACCCCAGTTGCCTCTTTAAACTTATTTAATATGATGTGTTCACGCAGTACACATCATTCTAGTTATTCCAATACGCAGGTCACTGTACTTAGTGCTGGGCGGTTTAAGGCAAGAGAAAGTAATACTTAAGAACCTTTCCAAATATTTGCTTGCTTGCTTGCTTTTTTAAAAAGATTTTATTTATTTATTTGTCATAGAGAAAGTGAGAGTGCACTAGCAGGAGGAGCGGCAGGCAGAGGAAGAGGGAGAAAGAGTTTCCCTGCTGATCAAGGAGCAGCCCTGGGGCTTGATCCCAGGGTCCTGGGATTATGACCTGAGCCAAAGGATGCTTAACCCACTGAGCCACCCAGACACCCCTCCATATATTGTCATATCAAATTCTCTATAAGATAAATAACTACAGCCACAGGCAGAGTGGTAAACACTTTAAGTAACCACCCCATTTAATCCTTACAAAATTTTATAGTATTAGCGATTTTGCTGGCTCAGAAAAATAAGTAATTTGCTCAAGGCCACAAAGTGAGCTGAAATTTGAACTTGCTGGTCCCCATCACTCCAAGATATAGTCTTTAATGGACATTGGCCCAGCTTCTCTTCCCAGCTCTGGTCTTTCAAGTAAACTTGTTGTAGTTTACCTCAAAGATCTTCTTTGTCATTTATTCTGTCCTACATCTCTTCTTCTGACATCTGTTTTAGGCTAAATTGTGTTCCCCTGAAATACATATGTTCAAGTCCTAACCCTAAGCACCACGTATCAAGACCCTATTTGGAGGGTTGTTTTAAATGTAATTAGTTAAGATGAGGTCATACCAGAGTAGGGTGGGCCCTTAATACAAGGTAACTAGTATCCTTGGGCTGCCTGGGTCATTCATTCAGTTAAGCATCTGCCTTCTGCTCTGGTCATGATCTGAGATCCCCTCGGTGGCCTCCCTGCTCAGCCAAGAGTCTGTTTCTCCCTCTTCCTCTGCTCTCTCACCCTGCTTGTGCTCTTTCTCACTTTCCGATAAATAAACAAAATCTTAAAAAAAAAAAAAAAAAGGATAACTAGTATCCCTATAAAAAAGAAAAAATTGGACACAGACAGGGAGAACACCATGTGAAGATGGAATTATGCTGCCACAGTGAAGGAACACCAAGATTTCCAGCAAAGCTCCAGAATTTAGGAGCAAGGAATGAGCAGATTCACCCTCACAGCCTTGAAAGGAACCAACCCTGCAGACTCCATGATTTCAGACTACTTGCCTTCAGCACTGTGAGTCAATAACTTTCTGTTGTTTAAGTCACGCAGGTTTTGATACGTTGTTATGGAAGCTGTAGCAAACTAATAAAGTATCTACTCCTACCAGGAATGCAAATTTCTACTGTTCTCTTTTTCTGCCTAAAACCGTAGTATTTCCTTTCTCCATCGACCCAGCTTTTTAGCACAATGAAGTAGAATCAGTTGCATTGTTCCCAACATCAGATGGGAAGAGTTATTGAATTCTATGTTCATCCACATTTGGGCAATCATTCAAATGGATGAGGGGTTGGAAGCATAAGTTTTGAAGTCCACTGGGCTCAAATACCGGGTTCTGCATTTACTAGCTGTGTGATCTTGAGCAACTCTCTAAGCTTATTTCCTTACTTTTTTTAAATGAGGCTAATACCAACACTACCACGTAAGGTCTCAAGGACAATCAAGGAAGAAAACATAGTAATTTAGCACATTAGTTGGTACACAGGAAGTGCTAAACAAAATTATTTACTGTTATTTATTGTTCCTAAAACAAACTTTAGAATTTACCTTTCGTGGGTATTTTAGATGCACATTTGTGTACTTTCTATAAGTATTATAATCTACTGGTATAAGAATGACTCTGGCATTTAGTCTCTAAGTAATATTATCTTCAACCTTTGGCTATATCTAAAATTGAGAGGAAGTAACCTTAAGCAAGTGAACTAAGTACATTTATATTAAGAATCCTTGAATCACCACTGTGTCCCTTAAGTTCATTCCTAGGATTAGAAACAGCTACGTATTAGAACTTCAAAAAAATATATATAGGTCTGGTTCTAAGGAAAGAGGTTTACAACTGGTAGAAAAGGTATTTATAAGGTGAAATATTAAGGCATAGGCCCATGATATTTGAATCTACATAACAGACTACCAGCTGCTAGAAGATAGAAATCAACAAGAGCAAAAAGGTACTTAATTGTTTTCCCTCTGTATAAATACATTGTTTGGAAATTATTATTTTCCTCTATTACGTTTCTTGAGTTTTTACCAAAATTCTCTGCCTTCTCTCTAATATTTGTTTTGGAGGGTGGAGGGAGAAATCTAATATGAAATCTAATGCTTAGCACATTAACTTTTATCAACTTTTATCAAGGTAATGAGAAATTGCTGACACCTCCACATTCTCTTTTGAAAATACAAGTGTGCTGTGATAACTTCCAAAAAAGCCAAGGAGGCATCTGTGCCTTTGCCCTTACTCTCTACTCCTCTTAGAACACCCTCTCCTTTTCTCTCATGCTCCCGGTTTAGAACACTTTCATTTGTTGTTGTTTTCCCATTTCAAAGGTTGCCACAGACTCAAATCCATGTTTATCTTTCCACATCATCTCCACTCTCTAACCCCCGTGCACTTTGTACCTTCTCTGTGGCGTTTAAGTATTTTAATCTTGGGTTTAAATCTTAATCCTACCACAACCGTGAGAGTGGTAGTAATAAATTTCATTCTTATAAGCTCTGTAGCTTTTTTTTTTTTTAAAGCAAATGTTCAATAGGTAATTAAATCAACAAACAAGTGAGCAGCCTTTTAGAATGAGTCATGAATAGAATGAAAAAGCTCCACGTTTTAAAAATGAAAATCTGTAAGCATTCAAAATGGTAAAAACGAACTATATACATTTATTAAAATTCCAATATATCTCTCTTGTTCTGGTTAATTCTGTCCCGCACTCCTGTTACTCATTTTTGTTTTCTTCACAGCACTCACTGTATCCAGGGTCCATGTCACTGTAGTCCCCGTACCGGCACTTATCAAACGCCTAATTCTGACTGACCCGGAGACTTGTCGGGAGAGGAAGTTCTAAAAAAAAAAAAGAAGAAGAAAGAAAAAGAGACCGTACTGAGAATGAGAATGCGCGGCCGTATTTCATATATTTGCGTTTTGAAACGGGGGTAGGAGAATGGCCAATAAATGCAAAATTCAAAATGCTGCTTCTGGTAATAGAGTTCTAGGGTCCTCAGATTCCATTTCTAACTCCGCCAGTCCTGCATGGCAAAATTAATGCCAGATTTCTCAAAAACCACGTTCTCATCACTATTACTCCGGACCCAGTTCCGGTGTCTGGCATATCGTAGGCGTTTTCAATGCACCTACTGAATCCCGATTTGCGCGGGATTACGAATTTAGGGGACAATCCAGAGTTAGAAAAAGAAAAAAAAAATCATTAGAACCAACTACATTTAGAAACCGGAACCAACCACCTAAGGTTGCACTCTACTAACATATCGCCGGTCAAGTGGAATTTTACCATGTGCTTAGTGTTGAAAACGTGCTGGCTTTCGTTTCACAACAAATGTGGATCACCCACAAAACACATTCGCTGACATTTAGAATGGCTTAAAAGAGACGGGAGAGCGTGCCACGCAGGAAGGCCCAGTTGGTGGGGTCGACAAGAAACTACAATGTAGTGTGACAAAGGTTCAAACGGACTCAGCAAGGAAGGCAAGGGTCCAGGGACCTAACGAGACAGCACAGGAGCGCGCTTGGCCTCTCTTGCGCTCCGTAGAACGAGCTCTCTGGGCCTGCGTAGACCACGCCTCCGGCGGGGAAGGACGGTGTGAGGCTGTCCGCGATGGTGCCTGTTGCGTATGTCAGTGACCGGCAGCGCAGAGCCAGAAGACTAGGAATACTCTCGTCTCTGAAACACCTCAATCCGGAAACAGAAATTCTCGAGGCCCGGCACCGCCAGAGCCACCTCTTTCATGAAAGGGAATGCACATGCGCATAGGGGTCCTGGGAAGCGCTTAAATACCGTCATGCGGACGCACACGACCTCTTTCCCTGCCGCCGCCGAGTCGCGCGGAGGCGGAGGCGACGGGTGAGTTGAATGAGGTTGGGGTGGTGGCTGTGGTGCATTTAGTGCTTTTGGCCCGGAATTGGGCCTTGGCCGAGATATTTATATTTAGTTACCTGGTTTTTCTTTTTTTGTTGTTTTTATATTGTAGTGCAGTCAAGATTCGGCTACACTCGTAATCCACCGCCATGGCCGAGGAAGGGTGAGCCCAGCCTCGGGGTCGTGCCGGCAGGGAATGGGCAGTGAGCGGGGGATGCGGGGTCAGGATAGGCCGCAGCGCCTTAAGGGCGTGTGATTATTTAGTCCAGGGTTTTAGGCGTTCGGGGAGTTTACTAACGGTTTTGAGTTTACTTGCTGCGTTTCAGCATTGCTGCTGGAGGTGTAATGGACGTTAATACTGCTTTACAAGAGGTGCTGAAGACCGCCCTCATCCACGACGGCCTAGCACGTGGAATTCGCGAAGCTGCCAAAGCCTTAGACAAGTACGTGTATCAGTCTCAGTACGGTGGGTTGTTGGAACCGGAACAAAACTGCAGCCGAGGGAAGAAAGCGTGAAGTTCATGGTGTTAGCGCCAGAGTTCTGAATGGCAGCCGTCCTACAGGAAACCTAGGAAAAGGTATCAGAACTCAGATCTGTATAGCCTGCGAAGTTCGTGAGTTTCTGTTTGGAATGGGAATGAGTATTTGTTTTTTTAGCAAAAGTAAGACTACAGTGTTTGAATGATGACTTGACTTGTCGGATACCCCTTCACTCTTTTCCTGAGTGAAACCTGTAACAGTCTGACAAACCTGTAGGTTGTGGAGTGAATTTCACTTGAATCCTCCTTGGGCAGTTAGCAAAAATTGGACTACCAAGTTAAATTTGGGAATTTCAGGCTAATGTTGCAGAAGCACCTGGACTTAAAAATTGAGATAGTAGCTGTAGAAATAAAAAATTACGGAGATTTTGTAACTCCCTTTAGTTCTTGGGCTGGTCTTAGTGGCAAGGTAGCTGCAGGTATTAACTATTTGAGCTGAATTTTAGTGCGCTTTTAAGAATTTCTTAGGCAGTAAATTTAAGTTCATTCAGCTCACTTTGGTGTAGGTTGGTCACTTGAATCCACTGGAAATAGCACTTGTTGGAAGTCATTCTGGTCCTGGTGTGAGTCCTCTGCGCTATTTGCACAACGGCAGTGATGCCTATACTAATTTTTTGGGCCAGTAACAGGTAACAATTCTAATAGCAGTGGTTTGTGTTTCACTACAGTAGTTTGTAAACGTGGCAGTGGCTTGCAAGAAAGGGTGATGGTGCTTTGCCCACAAATTGGTGAACTAATTCTTCATAAAATTAGTATTTGGGGGAGTTACTGGAGGCTTGATTTTTGTCAGTGACTGGATCTGTGCTATTTAACAGGTTCTTTAAACTGAAGTAGTTGTACAGTGGGTGTTGCTTGTGTTTGGCCAGTGTAGTGATTGCAGAGATAACTCTTGACAGTTCTGTTGCAGACCCGAGTTTTCGCTTATACTGGGTTTGCCTTTCAGGCGCCAAGCCCATCTTTGTGTGCTTGCATCCAACTGTGATGAACCCATGTATGTCAAGCTGGTGGAGGCCCTTTGTGCTGAACACCAAATCAACCTAATCAAGGTAAGTTACTTATTTATCTGAATTCACAGATGCTTTCGCTTAATGAAAATTGAGCCAGTTAGGGTTACAGCTGTACTAATGCTGTTCTATCCAGTTAGTAAATTTTGCAAAGTGTCCTTGCTTTCTGGTGGTGTGAAAAACATCACATAGGCTTGGTACCTTGGTCTGTGTAAACCTAGTTACGGAGATGTTCTGTTCCTGCAGAATTAACCAGTAATTTTGGTGTTGGTAAGAAGTGAGGTAGAGCGCTTGTAGGTGACCTGATGCTGTACATGATGACAACTGGCTCCCTCTACTGAATTGCCATGAGGAAACTGCCATGTCACCCTATCTGACTGCAGCTACCTTTTGGGCCGATTTATTGTCAGAAGCATTATTGTCTGCTAATACGGTGATTTTTTTTTTTTTCTTAATTTCTCTTCACAGGTTGATGACAACAAGAAACTAGGGGAGTGGGTAGGCCTCTGTAAAATTGACAGAGAGGGGAAACCCCGTAAAGTGGTTGGTTGCAGTTGTGTGGTGGTTAAGGTAAGTCAGTATTTATCTCTGGGATGAAGGTTGTGCTGGGAAGCTGCATAATTCAGTGTAGAATTTTAATTGTGAGGAATGTCAAAAAAAATGATTTTTGAACACTTAAAAGATGTCCTTTTTCTGCCTTTGAGAAAAGGAAAATAGGCTGTAATTAAGCCAGCCAGTTAATCTGCTTACCTGAAAGTGTTTCGGCAGAAGTTTAGAAAATGCTGGCAATAGTAATGCCATGTTACGAGCCTTAAAGACATTGAAGTCCTTAAGGTCCCTGAAAATGGCTATAAGAAATAGTAATGATGGAAACATTTTCAGAAATAATTTTGTAAAGCTTCACCAGAACCAGTGCTAACAACTTGGTAAGAGTTTTCTAAATGTTAGTTAAAAAAAATTTTTTTTTTTTTTTAATTCTTTCAGGACTATGGCAAAGAGTCTCAGGCGAAGGATGTCATTGAGGAATACTTCAAATGCAAGAAATGAACAAATAAATTTAGTTTTTGTTCCACACCTGATTTGTGTTTTTATTGGGGGGGAGGGCACTAGAATAAGGTCTCTTAGTTAGCAAGAGAAAAGATAATCCTTGTAGAATTAGCAAAATAACTAGAAACATGCTGTTTGTTTTCCTCTTGGTTTCTAAATGAAAGCCAACTCTAACCAGTCAGTAATTAAAGTGTTAGCAACTGAGAGCAGGATGACCTAAGTAACAAAAGCCTTAGAGTGATTGTGACATCCATGGTTAAGTGTGCTGTTTGTAACAACGACAAGCCGCCTAGAACCTAGAGAAATGGGCTGAGGCTAGTCAAGTGTGGGTGTTACTTTGCAGTCTGGCAACTTGAAAGCAGATTGAAAAAGTCAAACAAGTCGATAGAAAATACTAGGTAGGCAGGATTGGATTTAGGCTGTGGGACGTAAAGTACAGGATGTCCAGAAAGTGCTTAATGGACATGTCCATTGGAAGAGGTCAGGGTGTTCATGGTGTGGGTTATAACCCTTGGTACTGTCTTAGGTGCAGAAGCAGGATATGCTTCTCTATGCTGAAGTCTCAATCTCCACAGTCTGTGATGACCCATGTATTTCAGGCCTGGACCAAGTTGGTACAAGTTTGAGATTAGTGAGCCAGGTAGGATTCATGGAAATGTTACAATTGAAGTCCTTGCTAAATTGCTGCTAAAGGTTACTTAGAATTAATCTACTCTAGTTTTTTGGTACTGCTGTATAGTTAAACGGCACTACATGAAGCTAAATGGAGCCAGATTGGTTTTGAATGCTTGCTTGTACAATGGTGAGTATTTTTCTGCATGTTGGGAGTTCATAGGTTTAAGCCTTCTATAAAACTCACATCTAGGTAATGTAGCAACCTCTAGGATCACTAAAGGCTGTCTCTGCATCGTATCTGCTGTGGTGGAGTGAATGGCTTCAAGAGTCCTAGAGCTACTGTAGTCCTAAAGCCTTACGGATAGGTTCATTAGGTACGGTACCCTGGGGTCCATTATCACCATTAAATGTCAACCCAAGTTATCTGCCATTTCTAAGGAAGGGGTCTTCTATTTGCTTTGAATCTGGTGCATATGAACATCTTGTTAGGCAAGCACTGTTTGAGCTATTGGAGTAGCAAAACCCTCCCAACTTTTTCTTAGGTTTTGATGGTGTGTGGGAATTCTGTAGCTCATGCTAGGGAGGATAGCTGAGTATAGCACTTGGCATTTCCATGGCTGAACTGTACCTTCCACTGACCTAAATCAGCATTAGGTGTTTTTGGTATTTGCATATCCACTGATCCCTCCGGTCAGATCTCTAAGGAATACTGTGCCCTTTACTATATCTCTACTACTTTGTTGGGGCTGTTCCGTAATACTCAAGATGGTGGTTTCCATCCTCTTCATTGCTTTCTCTAAAATCAGTCTGGTCCCTGAGACTTCAATAGTCAAACTCAATAGCTTCACAGCTTTTCTGTCTTTACCTCTTGGATTTTCTAGAGTTTTGTCCACACTTGAGCGCTTTGCCACACTTCACCTCTTATGCCCCTTTCCCCCTTTCCACTAGCACCAGAGTTCTGTGGCCCTATTTACTTCCGTGCAGCCCTCCTGGGACTGTTCTAGAACTTCTCCAGATTTCCTTTTTTTTCTAAATCGGAGTTCTGTTTTAGTTTTGGTCAGCCCCCCTCACTAGGGGGCACCCCATGAGCACCCACTTGTACCTCAACTTTGGTATACCTCAAGTTTTGTATACCTCAAAGTGAACTTGAAGATTCTTAAAATGTTTTCAGTTAGAGGAAAGTAGTTACTGGATATCTAGCGTATCAGGCTTTGCACTAAGTGTTTACATCTACTTCAGTTTTCAAGGTAGAGGCATCTAGAGTTCTCTGCTCCTGCCCCCACCTTGTATAAGCCATCGCAGACTTCACTGACTGTAGTAGCTGCTCAGTGAGCTAATGCTGTGAGTCAGTGCTCACTTGAATTTAACATCCATGCTGCTCTGAGTTCTTTTTGTGAGTTCTGAGTTCTTCCTGTGAGCTCTTTCTGCCTGAAATGCAGGTTTCAACACTGGGCTGTCTACTCATCCTTCAAAACCCATTTCGAATGTAACCTCAGTCTTACGGTTTGGATTTGTCTGTATAGCTTATATGGAATTCATAAGGGAGCTCATCCATGCTAAAGTGCCCACGCCAAAGCAGGTGTCATCTGAGCCAAGCGCTTCATACTGTTTTGTTACTGTGGTCAGTGAGACTTGGGTGTTCCTGTTCACTTCAGCTGTAAGAAACCTTGCTCCAAGTAATCAATTTTCCTTGTCCTTAACTCCATTTTTGCTTGGTCCTGATACTAAAATTCTGTTATATGTGGTTTTGGTAAGCCACTTTAAATGCTTTTTAAAAAAACCCCAGGACATTCATAGTGGATTTACAACAGGGTTGTATTATGTTGGTGTCTGTTAAAAACCGGTATTTGTTCATTTTCAACGGGATTATAGAAGCAACGGAACCATTGTGTAGGCAGTTTGAGATCGTTCAAGGGCTTGTTCAAATAAGCTTTTAATGTCTCCATGTACTCCTGAGGCCCACAGAGAAGGAAGGTGAGGATGGATAGTCAAAAGCAACAGAAATAAGATCACAGCTTTCATCACTCCAGGTGGATGATGGGACAGGCTGAGAGGGTAAGACATTGTCTCCCAGTCCTCAAAAGCTCAATCCACAAGCCAGAACATTGAGGCAGTAAATTTCGGCAAGATCAGTGGAGGCATCACTCCTGGCTAAAGAGGTGTTCAAGATGGAGGCCACCAGGCTCTCTCAGAGAACCTACTGGGTGAAGTGTGACTGATTGCTGGGACAAGGTGCTGGGGGCAAAGGGGTCATGGAAGTCAAAGTTGAAAATTAATCTTTCAGAGAGTGGTCAGGCATTTGGGACTTAGGCTACATATTAATGCATCAGAGTGTTCAGAAGGATTCAGACTGATGCTCACTCCCCAGAGGGCAAAAGTTTTGGTGTCCTTTAAAAAAAATAAAACATGGCTTATGCTTCAAATAGCACAAGCACACCTAAATTCAAACTCTTATTACCAGTAAGGTATTTCAGTCAACTTTTTTATCTAAACCCTGTTCTACCTAGCCACAGTCTACTGTTTGAAGTTGCATTACAATCTGGGTTTTGCTTGGAAAGTCTTAGAAATGAGGGAGGAAGGGGATCCTGAGGATTCTTTATCTACACAAAAGGGGCAATTTTCTCAGCTTTTCCTAGTTTGCATGAAGCATCCCCTAAGAGAATTCTGCTTTTGTTTTTTGACTCCATAGTCCCCATCAGCACTGCATTCCTAAATTGATTTCCACAGCAAATTGGCTTTAGACAGGGCAAGTGCCAGAGAGGAGAGAGAGAAGTACTTTTATAGGTAGAAACTCAAATCTCTTTCAAGTCTCTGAACTAAACTGGGTTGTGAAGTATGTAAAGGTGGAGGCACCGGTGATCATCCAGTGGCCCTGCCAAGCCAAGACGCACTGTTAACTTCCCCATTTTTGATGATAAAGGAGAAAAGCTACAGCATCAATTAAGAATGCCCTTGGTGAAGAGTACACATTTATGGACCAGTTACAAAGGAAAGCATGATTATAGCTATTAGCATATTTAGCACAGGGCTATTAGAATATACTTTTTGGGGGGTTAAAGTAGGAGAATAAGTAAAATGTACGATTACAGAATGGGATATTATAGTACTTAAAAAACAGACAGTATGAAGAACATCTGTTCATACACTTTTATTTTTTTAAAGATTTTATTTATTTGACAGCTCACAAGTAGGCAGAGAGGCAGGCAGAGAGAGAAGGGGAAGCAGGCTCCTCACTGAGCAGATGGCCCGATGCAGGGCTCAATCCCAGGACCCTAAGATCATGACCTGAGCCGAAGGCAGAGGCCTAACCCACTGAGCCACCCAGGTGCCCCTGTTCATACACTTTTAAAGCAATATTCAAAATTTACAATAGGACCACATTTAAAAAAATATATATATAAGGACATACATCAAGGTTTTAGTGGTTTCTGAAAAGGTGGGTATTTTGGTTTACATGTTGCTTATTTTTTCTTCAATATGTATTGTTTTTGTAGTAAAAAAAAAATAAAGAAACGAGATAATGGTATAGGGCTCTCTCGGGGTTAATATGAAATGCCAGTAATAGAAAATTTTTTTAAAAATGTGAACAAGTGCATTTATTTACTCATCTAGTAGAATAGCCGTTGGGTAGAAGGCTGGTTTACGAAGGCTGAAGTCAGACTTAACCAGCAGAGGGCAGTAAGAAGCTGGTACCTGGTGGGGGGGGGGGTCTACCCAAAAACAAGCCAGAAAAGCGCTAACTACAGTTCTCCCTCCCATAGCAGGTACACTAAAATTGGAACAATGCAGAGAAGATTAGATTATGCCTCTGCACAAGGAGGACATGCAGATTCGTGAGGCAGCACTAACTATAGCAAGGCCCCCGTAGGAAAATCTCCTCCTCCCATGCTGAAGTAAGATTGTTGGGCTTTAGTTTACTACTTCTAGTTACATTTTCTTTTTGCCCTAATGCCAAATCCAGGATCCAAAGCTGGTGAGGTCGTTTCATTATGTGCTGGGAGGCTTTCAGTAGAGGCAACTGTGGTTATTTTATATACAACTAAGAAATTGAAACTCTGCAACACATTCCTAGAGAAAAAGGTTCAGGTCCGTTTTGTACGCTTCTGTAAGACTCCTTTTCTTCCACTCCACTGAGGTTTCTGTAGATTTCTATCTGAAGGCCAGAAGGTTTCAGAGCAGGCCGATTTTGGAATGGGCCCAATCTGGAGTGTGTTAAGGTAACAGATGTATTTTGGAGATTACAATCCACACTGTTCTCTCTGTGGAAGCATTGACTTTGTTCTATGCAATGTTTGAATAGCATGCTTGGTGTGGTAGACTCTCAGATATTTTCTGTTGGATAAATAGATTTGACCTGCCTATCTAGTAAGTTAGTTAATTTGTGGGTTTTCTTCTCAGGCTTAAACTCCCCA